TTGAGGGGTATTATGTTTAGTACACATGGTGTGGGGGGTCATGGGGAGAACAGTCTAGCACAGAGAAGGCACATAGTGGATCTGTGGCATCTTGCTGCACAGATGGACAGTAACTGCATTGGGGTATGAGTGAGGACTTGATAATATGGGTAAATGTAGTAACCGCATTGTTTTTTCATGTGAAACCTTCATAAGAGTGTATATCAATGATACCTTAATAAAAAAAAAAGTCCCAGCAAACCAGAAACAGACTTAAAAAGAGCCTATATGATCAATCTCTATTCTTCCCATGCTTATGTAAATAGTTACACCAAATTTAATGAGATTAGACTTTTTTTTTTACAACTGCATTAGTCTTACTTTGATTACTTTGATAACAGTGGAGGTGACCGGAGAAACAGTGGAGGTGACCGTAGAGAGAAACATTCAGTTTCAGTACAGACTCTAAAACACTTCAATGCGTTGTTAAACGGTGCCATGTTCACTGACTTTTCTTCCTCTTTATAAACTGGCTCCTGCTATTTTGTGCATTGTGTCAGGAATTAACATTTCCAGTTTTTCTCCCATCCTTCTAACGTGTCATCACTAAACACTAGGACTGTCATTTTCTCAAAGCCCTGCAAACTAAAGCTGAATGACTTAATGTAAACTTAGAAAAAAAAACACCGTACCGTATCAGGTCTGAACAGCCTTTGTGCCTGCTACTGTATGAATCACTTTAAAGTTCACTGGATTACCAGTCACCCACTGCTGTCAAGAGACTCAAACCACAAGCCAGAGTATGAATCAGATTGCCACGGCTCGTCCTCACCCCACCATCTAAAGAGGCTTCAAGCCCAACATGTAAAGATTCTCTCTGCCGGCTGCCTTCTGAACTCAAAAACTGAGTTTATAATTTGTCTTAATCATTAACCCATTTCTCTTTTGTTTCCAAAGAAATGCCCCTCAAGAAATGCCTATTGCTCACACCATGTGGTGCCTTACTCCCACCTACACCAGCACCTCCACAGCAAGCCACACGGTCTAACTGAACAGACCTCTTCCCAGGACTAAGACTGATCCCATGAACTAGGGGACAGTGTGCTTAGATTTGTTCTTTTCTGCTTGTTCCAGTCTAGGTTTTCTCCCCCTTTTACAGATCTCTTACTTCACAACTTCTAGCTCGGATTTCTCTCCAGAGCTACCAGCTAAGCTTTTAATGTATGAAAAGGTCTAGGGACATTTCAGATGAGGGGAATGAAGGAACTCAGGACATACCACCCTGAAATATGCACTTTGCCTATTGACTAGTTTCAGACAAAGGTACTTAGAAAACAGCAGATGCAAGGTGGGCACTTGGACCTTCCTTTTCTTTCCAAAAGCAGGAGACAGAATTCCTTTGTGAAAGGTGCCCTCCCTGTGCCAGGAGGAAGAAACAGTCTCATCACAGGAGAGGGGCGCCTTATCTGAGAATGCTGTGCCAGACCTTGTGAAAATAACTCTTACCTTCCTTTGGTCTGCCCATGTATTTCAGTTACCTTTCCACAGTTGCTACTCTTTGCTTGACCTGGTGCCTCAGCGCTTAGGCCTGGTCACTTCTCTGGGTTTGTTTTTCTTGTGAGGGCTTTTCTTGTTAAGTACGTGTAAATAAAATTTGTCTGCTTTCCTCCCATTCATCTTCTTAGGTCAGTCCCAGCCGGAAACTCAGAGAAAGTAAAGGAAAATTTTAGCTCTGCTATACACCAAATGCCATATTTTACTTGAAAGAAGGACACCCTATGGTTATTCAGCCTTGAGTATTTGGCAGATATTTCCTCCAAAATGGATGAAGCTAGCCCATCCCTTCAAGGAAAACAACTGACAGCATTTCTTGCCTATGCTAAAGTAAAGTTTCATGTAAAAATGAGAATTTTGGAAATTTAAATCCAATCATAAGCATATAGATGTTCATACCCAGAATAGTTTATAGCAATGAAAATGAATGAACTATAGCCACACACACCTCTAATGCTTAAAGACTTTTCTGGCAATATTAGTAGTTTTATATATATATGTAATACATATACATAGACAAATAATATAAAATAAGAATTATATATAATATAATTTGTATTATATAATAATATATAAATAATAATCATAATGAAATGTGTCAACATTTAGAAGATATGCAATGTTTTCCAAATGACCAATGCATGTTACAAAAACATTTATGGGAAAAGATCCATTCAGACCACAAGGAAGACCAATGGATTTTTATTTCAAAGAGTACAAAATAAAGTTCATTAACGTGGTTTCAGATTCTTCACTGCGATCACGCTTTAAGACACTACTGCTTGTCAAGTTTGATGTACTATCAGAGAAAAATATTCACATGATATGTGACTATTAAATGAGGAGGCTATTAAAATACTCCCTTTTCTGATTACATATTTGTATGAGGCTACATTTCCTCACAGACTTCAACCAAAACAACATATTGCAACGGAATGAATGAAAAAGAAGATATGAGAGCCCAGCTATCTTCTTCTATGCCAGACACTAAGGGGATATGTAATACCGTAAAACAATGTCATTTTTCTCATTAATTTTTTTGGTTTTATTTTGAAAATAGTTATCTTTTATTTAAGATGTCTTTTATTTAAAAGACACTTTTATTTAAAATGTCTTTTTAACATGTAATGGGGTTACTGTCGTTAAATAACAGGTATTTTGAAAACTTCTCAGTTTTACATTCAGATCTAGAAAATCTTGACAGAGGTCCCTTAGTGTCCTCAGTAATTTTTAGGAGAGTGAAGGGGTCTTGATCAAAAAGTCTGAAAGCTGCTGCTCTGGAGAAACTCTTGCCCATGTGTCCCAGGAGACTCGATAAGAATATTTCCATTGTTTCTACCATAGCTGGGAACTGAACATAGTCCTAACATCCATCTGCAGAACAAATAAACATATTGTGATATAGTCATACTACATGAGCAGTAAAAATGGTAAATGATCCACAGCTACACATGAGAACACAGATGAATCGCGAAAACATAACATTGAGGAGAAAAAGCAGTAGAAGACTAACAGTCTAAGTCCATCCATGTAAAGTTCAAAAATGTAGAAAGCTCAACAATTATTTCAGGGATACAAACAAATGTGAGTAAAAATGTAAAAGCCGCCACTACATATCTACCAGAAGGACTGAAATTAGAAAGACAGACGGTACCAAATTTGCACAAGATGTGGAGCAAGGGACTCTCCTATATCGTAGGTGGGAGCGTAAGATGGTAGAACCCCTTGGAAAAAGGTCTGGCAGTTTCTCATAAGTAAAAAACACCTACCCCATGACCTAGCAATTTCACTTCTACATATTTACCAAGGGGAAACAAAAATGTATGTCCCCAAAGAGACTTGTACAAAAATGTTAATAGCTTTATTCATTATAACCCCAACTGTTAACAGCTCAGAAATCCACCAATAAATGGGCAGATGAATAACGTGTGGTCTAGGCAGACACTGAAACACTACTCAGCAATAAAAAGAAATGAACTGTTGATGCTCTCAGCAACATGGACGAGCCTTGATAATATAATGCTGAGTAAGAGAAGCCAGGCACTGAAGACTCCATCTTAGACGTTTCCGTTTATATGAAACTGTAAAACAGGTGAAACCAATCTGTGATGTGAAACAATTACAAGAGTGACTGTACTTTCTGGAGTAATGGGAAAGTTCTGTATATCTTGAGAGGGGTTCAGGTTGCCTGGGTGTGGGCATTTGTAGAGACCCACACAATGATTTGTGCATTTTGCTGAATGTGAATTATACCTCAAAAGCTGGAAAAAAAAAAAGACCCTCTAAACAATACTAATTTAGTTAATGATATATATGCTGAGGTTTTTAGAGAGAAATGACTATAATCTACTTTGAGATGAATAAGAAAAGCACCTGAGTTGATGGATAGATAGCTGGATAGATAAAAGACAAATAAATAGTATGACACAATGGCAATGATAAAAATCTCGGTAATGGGTATACAAATGTTCACTATAAAATTCTTTTAACTTTGCTGTCAGTTTGAAATTTTCAATAAACAATGAGGGAAAAAGCAAGCAGTGACATTTTAAAGCAAAAGGCAAGGCAATAAGGTTAGTTCATGTCTGGGGAGAAAGTGGTTTGTGATTGGGCAGGGCCCATGTGGGCTTCCAGGTTATTGGAAATGATCTATTTTTAAACTGGGGAAATGGATACACAGATGTGTTACTGCTTTTTAAGTTATATGTTTATATTCTTCAGAGTTATGTACATTTCGTGTGATATATAGATGATTTGTAGATGCTGGGAGGAAAAAGATCTCTTGTGTTTGTGGTTGCTAAGTTGGTGTTGTTCAGTCACCTGCAGTCATTTCCCCTCCTCGAGACCGGTGAGGAAGGGACCTGGTCTGCGGTAGAAAAAAACGATCCAACTTACTGAGCAGCACGACAAGCCTCGGTGCAATACACAGAGAGGCCAGCTGGGACATTCTGCCTTCACCTTCTGTTTCTGGTCCTCAAGTGTTGATGTTCTCTTTGTATATAGCCATCTCTTCCTCAGATGAACCACTAACAACCCACCAGCCCACTCTGGAAACAGGAGGAGGCTCCATCTCTTGTGTTCTCTAGCCCCAGGCAGGCTCCAGCACATTCTTTTTCTGGGATTACTATGTGGGTACTGCCAGAAAGAATTCTTCTTGATACTGAGGTTGCTAAACTAGGGGGGTGTGAGGGTGGGGCTCCCGCTGTGGAAAGAGCTTAGCTGAGCTTGAAGCTAATGCACAGAGATGAAGCCTTAATGGTATCATCTGGTCTCCTGGATCCAGCCATTCCTGAGGCCCTGACCAGTTATGTGAACCAATACATTCCATTTTTGCTTAAGCCAGTTTCATTTTGGTTTCTTTCAATTGCAACTAGGAGTCCTAACTATCAAAAGTTCTCAGCTGCCAAAGTGTTAGATGCCATTTCTGTGTCCACAACCCTCCACCCCCACGAACCAGCCCCGCTCACTTGGTGATCTCCTCTAAAGCTGTCTCAGGTAAGGCCAGCATCTCCACCAGCAGGGACAGGATCTCAAAGAGCAGAGTGTGGGGGTTCAGGGGAGCCATGTCCTTCAGGGAGTTCTGTTCTGAGGATATGTGACGGTGACCGCCATTACCATGTGGTAGCCCTGATGCTCGGCCCTTCCGCCTCCCCCAGCCTCCCGGCTCCCCCCCAGCTCTGACTGCTCTGGGCTCCTCCCTGCTCACCCACAGAGCAGAAGCGCTCGGTGTCTGTCATCACAGCCAAGAAGTCTTTGAAGCCTACATGGCCATCCTCTATGGAAGCCAGAGGAATAACAGGGTGGGTAGGAACCTTCCAGAGCAGGTTCAGCTATTGGAACCCGGGCACGGTTATTAGCATTTACTCTTGGTTTGATTATAAAGGTAACACATATTCAATGCAGAAAGCATGGGGCACACAGGAAAAGTAGGAGGCAAAAATTAACATCTGGGTTAGAAGCTCCCAGAACTTGGGTCCTAGAGACAGCAGACTGGCTTCATATCCGAGGTCCACCACTTACTATCCGTGGGACCTTGGCAAAGTCTCTTAGCCCCTCTAATCCTTAGTTTTCTCATTTATAGTGGGAGGATAACCATAATGCCTATCTCATGGAAGACAGAATGAGGCAAGGTGCTTAGAATAGGGCCATGCATATTACATGCTCACTGAATGTCAGCCACTGTTATTAGTACCACATACTCGTAGCTGCGTGAGAACACATATGTACCCACGATTCCCACCTCAGCCTACAAGGTTCTGCAGAACCTGTCTGTTACCTGTCTCCAGCCTCACCTGGTGCCAAGTGCCCCCAAGCACCAACCTGATCTACCACCGAGTGCCACAATCTTCCCTGTTCTGGGCCTTTGCACATCCTGTTTCCTCTTCCTAGAATTCTCTCCACCACCCTCCAACTCTTTCATTTAATAAACATCCTACACAAGCTTGTGCTTGACCGTCCCTTCCTCAGAGAAGTCAGACCAGGCCAGGTCAGCTGTCCATTAAACATTCTCATGAAACCCACATACTCGTGAGATCTGGAATTTCCTGCAACTTCTGGGAGGCAGGGACTTGGTCTGTTTTGTCCTCCAAGGACACTGTGTCCTCCAAGGGCTTAAGACAGGTAGGTCTCAGACAGTGTTCTCTGAACTACTTGATGAATGAGTGGTCTCTAATCCTTAAAATCACCCTCTGGGGGCGCTTCATCCTCTTAACCCATGACACAGATGAGGACTCAGGTACAGAGAGAAGAAGGCTGTTGCCTAGGGTCCACGTAGGGGCAGAGCTAGGGTCAATTCCTGGCTTGTGTGTGAGGATTTGCACTCGTGTAGGGATGGAGGAAGCAGAGTCAGATACACAGGCAGGAGCCCAGGTCCCACACAGCCATGACCAGCATCTAGCCACCCAAAGCATGAGTGAGTCCACTCACCCCGTGCCCTCTTCCCTTTGCCTAGGTTATTTCTAGCGCCAGGGATGCCCTTCTTCTCTCTCTGCCCAGCTCCTGCTTAATCTTTCACAATTTGGCTCAGGCATCACCTCCTCCAGGCAACCTTCCCTCCCAATCCTTCCTTTCTTGTGGCCTTAAAGGCTGCATCTTTTGGTGACTCACTTCTGTGTCACTGCTATCAGCCCCATTATACAGATAGGGAAACTGAGGCTTGCTGAACTTCAGTGACTTGTCCAAGGTCAAGCTGGTGAAGTGAGTGACCAAGTCATAAAGGAATATGCAATGAAGCACAGTGAGGGCCTAAAAGGCAGGAACCTCGAGGATCACCTGCATCTTGGGGTCAGGAGGTAGGTCTTGGTCAGGGCTGGCTCTGAGCAGGTGCTCAGGAAGCATTAACTTTAGGGACCAGGACCAGCTATGTAATTTGTGGGGCCCAATGCAAAATGAAAGTTCAGGATGGGGCCCCACACTCAATAATTATTAAGAATTTCTAGATTGTGACAGCAGAGCATTGAACCAAATGCGGGCCCTTTAACATGGAGCCCCAGGCACTGCTGTGAGGCTGGCCCCACTATCTGGGGCTCAGAATGAAGACTCCCCCGACTCATCAAGACGTCCTCCACCTGGGCCAGCATCAGCGAGATGCCCACGAGGAGCAGGATGTTCTCCAGGCTCTGCACGTCCACCTCGCCATGACCACTGACGATGGCAAAGTAACTGCGGAAGCTGGGGTGGGCGGTGGGGTCATGTGAGCTGGGATCGTTCTTATTTTCACCATTCATCCCATCCCTCCCACCACCTTCCTGCCTGGCATCCTCTGCCGCTGTGGCCAGGTGGGGGGGGCAAAGGAAACGGAGAGTACAAGTGGAGAGGTGGGGTCCCATTGACTCACTCCACTCTCCAGGGTCAGGCTGAGGGCTCAGCTCCACCTCAAAAGCTCAGCTAATTGGGGACCTTCACCTTGCCCCAGGAGCAGGCCCACTTTAGGATGCCCCTGCTGTGTGCCAGGCACTGTGCTAAGCTCTCTTTATCCATGCTCTCATTTAATTTAGTTCTTACAGTCTGACTCTGTGTCTTGACTCAGTGCTCTGTGGTCACTAGTCTGCATGGACATGGCTTCTGGAATAGCTTCAGGGGTCTGGACCAGAGCAGAAGCCCAGGAAGGATGCCAAGGAAGCCCCAGACCAGCATGAATTGTCATAAAAGCTGTGTCATACCCTGTGTGGAGGCCAGTTTTTCAGCCCACGGCAAGAGCTGGTTAGAATCACCAGTTCTGGTGAGAACACTGGCTCTGCCATTTAATAATAAATTGGGTTGCTGTTATGGGCTGAATTGTGTCCCCCAAATTCCTATGTTGAAGTCCTAATCCCCAGTACCTTACAGAGTGACCTTATTTAAGGATGGGGCCGTTAAAGAGGTGATCAAGTTAAAAGGCCATTAGGGTCCAAATCCGATCTGACTAGTGTACTTATAAAAGAGGAAATGCATTGTGTGTGAAATAAATGAAGGGGACAAAGAGGCACAAAATCTCAGTTGTAATATAAAATAAGTCACAGAATGAAAGTACAGCATAGAGACTATAGTCAATAATATGGTAGTATCTGTCTGTGTTGACAGATGGCAACTACACATATTGTGGTGAGCATTAAAAAATGTAGACTGCTGTCGAATCACTACGCTGTACCCCTGAAACCAAGATAAAATTGTTTATCAACTATACTTCTCAATTTAAAAAAGAAGCCCCAGGGATGTTCATACACAAGGAAGGGCCAGGTAAAGACACAATGAGAAGGCAGCTGTCTTCAGACCAGGGAGAGAAGCTCAGAAGAAAACAAATATGCCAATACCTTGATTTTGGATTTCTTGCCTCCAGAACTATGAGAAAATAAGTTTTAAGTCACGTGGCACTTTGTCTTGGCAACCCAAGCGAACTATACAATTGCCATGAGTCTCCATTTTCTTATCTGTAAGCTGGACATAACACAGCACATCCTCTGAGCACGTGTGAAGTAATCCAGTGCCTGGCACATAATAGACTGTAAACCTCTGTAGCCCCAAAGTGAAGAGCAGGGCGAGGGCCGGGGTGAGGGGTGACCTGCCGTGGGAAGACACACTCGAAGAGGGAGAGCACAGAACAACTCTCCAAAGCAGATGCGACGCCCCAAAATGCAGGGTGGTTTGGACCATCAGAGCAGGGCAGCCAGACGGGGCTGAGAGCCACCGTGGGAACCCCTGAGTCTCCGAGCCAACATGCTGCCTATGAACTCTGCTCAGGGAGGCGGGGCAGGGAGGCCCCTCCAAGAATGGCTGGAGGCTTTTAGTGCTAAAAGGAGTGAACTTCAAGGTCAGGGTGACAGGGAACCGGAGAGTGCGTTCAGGGAAGGTAGAAGGGGCTACGTGGCCAAGAGGGTCACAGACTTTGGGGAGGAGTGAAGGGTGGAAGGAGGATGCACACCCACTGCTTTAGGGCCAGGGCCGGGGCCAGGTGCGGCTAGCTGGCAGCGTGCAGGACCATTGACTGGGCAACCTCTGGGGCCCCTGGGACCATGGGTAAGTGGAGGCTCAGGGCCCAGGCCCAAGGGTGATAGAGAGGACCACCCCACCCAGAGTGGGTGTTCAGAACTTCTATGCTTTCTGGTGGGGGTGGGATGCAGTGGGAAATGGGGACCTGCCCAGGGCAAGCAGCCTTGTTAAATGGCAAGGAACGTTCTAGGACAGGTGGAGGGTCCTGCAGGCCTGCCTTTCATCCAGGCTGCCTCTAAGAAGACTGATAGAATGGGTGTGCCTTGTGGGGGTGGCAGAACCACCTCCAAAACCTGAAGAACTTTGCCGGGCTTGCTTCCTTCACTGAGAAGCAGCTCTGGAACGGGAAACTGGACCCCAAGTGAGAGGATGCTGCATGGGTCCCTGCCCTCCCACCAGCTCCCACCTGCACCAGACAATCCTGCCAGGCCCACGCACAGGGCTTGGGGGGCATCGGGGAGGCGGTGGGATCACTAGACTCCCACCCCACCGCACCTTGGAAGCCCCAGGCCTGAGAGCCCCCTGTGGGGCCCCCAGCCGGCCGCCCTCCCCCTCCCCAGGCCTCTCTGTGCAGGTCTGACACAGCCTCAGGAGGCAGCGCCCCTCTGGCTCCTGCCTGCGGGGGACAGAACCGGCCCAGGGCACACATCCAGACGCCCACCCTTGCCCAAGGCTTCCACCATAAGCCAGGGAAGGGCGAGGCGAAAGCAGGGCAGAGGAAGCCATGGGGAGGCTTGAGGGGTCAGGAGAGTCTCAGAGGGACCCACAGGAGGGGGTGAGGCAAGGGAGGTCAGGGGAAGAGAAGCCCCTGGGGGATTAGGAGGAGAAAAGGGTCAGAAATGGGAAAGAACACGTAGAGAGAGGAGAGAGGAGACAGAAGTGAGGAGGAACGGAGGGGACAGACAGGCAGGAGTCTGGGAGGGACATGCTGGGTGCCGGGGGACGCAACTGGCCCTGGATCCCCCTCTCGGGGCGGCTCCTACTGTGCCTGGTGGAGCTCCGGCTCCTCTCTGTGCTCTGGTGCAGGAGCTCTGCACTTCTCCAGCCCAGGTCCCGGGCGGGGGCCAACAGGGCTGTGATGGGCGCTGAGGCCAGAGGGCAGGGCTCCCACGGGGGCAGGGGCTGGCAGCCAGGCCCAGGGTGGGACCACGGCAGGGGCCAAGGCGGGGGTCTAAGACAGGCTCAGAGGCAGGCCTGGGCGGAGGTGGACACAGGCATCAGGGTCCTCGGGGCCTTCCGGTTTGGCAGGGCCCAGGCCTTGGTGGCCCTCCGATGGGTGGCCTCCTCCTCCACCTCCAGCAAGCACTTCATGAAGCCGTGTCTGGGGCTCCCCAGGTTCTGGGCCCCTGCTGCCACCACTGGCTCCTGAGGCTGCTTCAGCACACGGTCCAGATCTGTCTTCTCTCCAGTGTCCCTCACCTCCTGGGACAGGACATGGGGAGGGGATCTGGGAGGTCTCCAGCCAGCTTGACTGTCCCACAAAGCTCCCTGCCCTTCGGTCCCCAAGGAATCCTCACACTGCCCTTCCTCTCTGGGCCCAGGGAGGACGGCCCTCCCATCTCATGTGCACCCTACCAGGCTCCCACCCACATCCTCCCCAGCACCTGACCTGGGCTCTGCCACCTCCCAACTCTAGGAACTGTGGTCTTGCGTGAGTTACTTCCTGCCCCGATGAGCCTGTTTCCTCCACAACAACCAGCATAGTCGTCCTGGCCTTGTCCGTCCTGTCCTGTGCCCGCCTGGCCAGAGGTAAACTTCCCAAGGACAGGGCCTTGTCTTTTATCCCTATCTACCCAGCAAACCACACGTACTTGGCATTTAATAAGTTTCTGCTCATCTATTCAGCAAACCAGCCCCCTCCTGCCTCTGTCCCTCCCATCACAGAGACGGGCTATCCCCAGCCCACTCCCAACCAGGCCGTGCCATGCAGGCCACAGCACAGCCCTTCCTCCCAAAGATGCAGCTCTTGCCACACACTCTCTTCCTAAAGCAGCAGCTCTACTTTCTCCACCAGATCGCTCCCATCAGCACGTAAACATGCTATATTGTCTTTCTTCTAAAAATGTTCTCTCCGGGGGCTCCAAACCCCTCTAGCTACCATCCGGGTCTCTGCTCTTATTCTAGAGTGAAATTCCTTACAAGTTGGCTGTACTCCCTGTCCACTTTTCTCCCATCTCCAGCCCGGCTTCCGCCTACCACTCCCCAACACTGCGGTCTGGCCTCTGTCTTCCTCGGAGTCGAGCCTCTGCAGTGACAGACCCAGGTGACCACGCCATCTGGGAAATGCTTTCTCCTCCAGATTCCGGTCTCCCACTGCTGCTCCTCCCTGGCCTCCTTCGCCAGCCCCCCTTGCTCTTGCTGCCTGTGGAAGACCCCATGATTCATCCTCTAACTTCTTCCTGCGCTATAGTCACAGTTTTCCTAGATGTTGTCTCTCTTTTGCTCACAACTACATCTCCAGTCCTGACTTCTGTGTCCTTCCTAACTCCAGATGTCCTCCCTGACCAAGAGCAGAGCCTCTGGTTCCTCCTGTCCATGCCTTCCCCAGTGTCACCACCAGTTGATGACACCACCTATTGCTCAGGCCCCAGACATGGAGGCCCTTTAGATTCCTTTCTCCAATCTACCTTCCCACCATGCAGCCCCCCAACAAGTCCTGTTGGTACCACTTCCAAAGGCTGTGTCAAAGCCATGCACTTCCCCTGCCTGTGCTGCTACCACCCTTCCCCCTGGCACCACGTGCCCAGCACATACTGCTGGACTGAATTCTGTATGGCTCTTCTGCCACTGCCCAGATACTCCTGAGCCTGCAGTAGCTCCCTATGACCACGAGACCCATTCTCCACTCACCCGTGAGACACACACTAACATTCATTTTCAGTAACTGGAGGGGAGAGTGTCCAAGGGAGGCGCTTGTGTTGGTTTATAATATTGTAGATACTAACCCATGTTTGTATGTGGTGGGAATGATCCTGTAGGAATGGAGAGATGGATCATGAAGCAGTTGGTGGGGGCAGGGCCTCATCTCCCGGCCCCCCATGTAACCAGGCGAAGGCAAGGGCAGTGGAGCTGGGCGTGGGGAGATGCAAGTGCTTCTCTGATGCTTCTCGCCTTTCAGTGGCGCATGAGGCCAGATCATCAGCGGAGATGAAGAGCATGGAGAGAGCACGTGTGAGGAGAGTACTCATCCTGGAGGAGGGAGGGACGGTGGCACGGCCAGGAGAGGCAATAAGAGGATTGCCAGGAGCATCCGACCTTAGTGGTCATTGCTGGAAAGCAAAACTCATCAAGACAGGGTTTTTCTCCAACCGTTATGAGCTGCTCAGGTGCAGGCAGAGGGTAAATGGGTGGTTGGTGTTTTGATGTTGATGGTTAGCACCGTAGAGGACACAGGGGCAGATGACGACTATCTCTTTGCAGGTTGCCCAGTCAAGTCAAGGACTAGGAAGTGGCAGAGCCGGTGGAAGTGGGGATGGCTGGGAGGGGACTGGGAGCCTCATAGGCATTCAGGGAAGCTATGGGTGTGTGGCTGCAGCTCAGGGTAAATGGGCAGAAGAAATCCATGCTGATGTGGAAAAGACATGAACTGGGATAAACCCAAGGGCTCCAGACTGTGGGAGCTTCCGGACCCCACCCGAGATGCACACACATGCATACACACATGCACATGTGCCAACACATACCTGCGCATGCTCACACACACAGGCACACACTCACGCCTTCTACTGTTTGACTCTTAATCCTGTCCCATTTCTGCCTCTGTCCCCTTCCTCATCCTGGTTCCCCACCCCGACTCCATCCCCATCCTGACCGTGGCTCTACTCACTGGTGGAGGAAGAGGCTCCGGTGCTGGCTGGGTCTCCACAGCCTCACCACTAAACAAGGGAGAAACCCTCAGTGGGGAAGGGGCTCAGCTCAACAGTTGCCCCTTGCATCCACTTCTCATCCCCCAGGACACTCAGTTCTACCACCCCAGCCCTCATCCCCCTGGCCTTCTAATCTCAGAGGGGCTCCCCATTCCCCCTCATCCTCCTGTAGGGCCATGGTCCTTAAAGTATAGGCCTACAAAACAAAGGACTGCTGCATTAGAGCTATTATACAGATGGGGAAATTGAGGCGCAGAGGGGCGCGACTTGCCCCAGGTCCTAAGCGGGAGCAGTGTCAGGAGCAGCGAAGACCAGAATCCCCCTCGCAGTGACTTAGCAGAAGACGGATCTTGCTGGGGCCCGGGAATGGGGTAGGGGATGGACCCGGAGGATGGCTTGCTCTTCTTTGGGTGTGGTAGGTCCTGGCGTGGATGATGGGAAGGAGCTGGCCATCTTTTCCTCTGGCATTGCCATGGGCACCAGGAGCACTGCTTCTTGGGAACTGACCTCATGCTCCCCTGGGTTGGGATCTGGCAGAGCCCCCTGTGGCCTGATGTGTGGGGTGTCTGCTTCTTCAGGGCGGCTGTCTCCCAGTTGCTCTCCACAGCTGTCCAACATGCAGCAAGGCTCTGTTGGCTGCGCTGTGTCTGACCCATTTGGTGCCTGGTGACCTGGGATAGGCGGACACTCTGGGCCCTGCTGAGGACAAGGACACTAAAATGGGGAGGCCCATCCTGGTGCCCAGGTGAACCTCAACCCTCACCTGGAGACCACTTACCACATGCTTACTCCAGTCCTGGTTCTGGAAGCACCCTCATTCTGAGTTCTCCCGGATCCCCTAGAAAGTAACCCAGGACCCCCCCAGTTTGAAGGGTAAGGAAATTGAGGCCCGTGGGAGTCACGGTCTACCCAAGGTTGTAACCCGTGCTGCTCTGTGGAGGTACAATGGGAGCCTGGAGAAAGTGAGGCAGTCCCTTTAAGTGGGACTTTCCCAAGGAAGGTTTTAAAGAACGAGAATCCTTCTTGGAGCTCCTTAAAAAAAGGGGTTTTACACTAAGTGAATTCAAGACTTATTATAAAGCTACTTACAACCAAGAAACTGGGGCAGTGGAAGAAGGATAGATAAATAGATGAAGGGGACAAGAAGAGAGTCCAGAAAGAGACACATACACACACGGTCAATTCATTTTCAACAAAGGTGCAAATTCAGCAGAGAAAGGATAGTCTTCATGCAAAAAAATGAACCACAATCCGACATTCACACTGAATACAAAAATTAACTAAGGTGGATCATAAACCTAAATGTTAAACCTGAGACTACAAAACTTCTTGAAGAAAACAGGAACAAATGGGTTAAGCAAAGATGTCTAAGAATCACAAAGCCATAAAGAAAAATGGCTAAATCAGACTTCAGCAAAATTCAGAAGGTCCATTTTTTGAAAGTCACTGTTGAGAGAATGAAAAAGACAAGTCACAAACTGGGAAAGAACATTTGTTTTTAATAAAGGACTTGTGTTCAGAATATATAAGAACTCTGAAAACTCTGAAAAAATAAGAAAACAAACCAATTTTTAAAAAGTTGCAGAAAGTGAAAAGACAACCCATAAAGTGAAAGAAGAAAGTTTGTAAACCATATATCTGATAAGGATCTAGTATCCAGAATGTATAAGGAACTCTTACAATTCAACAATAGAGTGACTAATCCAACTGAAATCATGGACAAAGTATTGAATAGACATTTCTCCAAAGAAGATATACAAATGGCCTATAAGCTAATGAAAAGGTGCTCAATATCATTAGTCATTAGGAAAGTGCAAATGAACACCACAGCGAATTCCACTACACACCTGCAGAATGCTTCAAGTTCAAGACTGACCATAGCAAGTTTTGGAGAGGACGTGGAGCAATTGGAACTCTCATACATTGCTGGTTGGGATGTAAAATGACACAACCATTTTGGAGAAAAGTTTGGCAGTTTCTCAGTAAGTTAAACATACAAAATACCATATGACCCACTCCATTCCTAGGTATTTATTCGCCCAAGAGAAATGAAAGCATATGTCCATACAGACACAAATGTTCATGGAAGTTTTTTCATAGTTAAAAAGTAAGCACAAACCAAATACCCATCAGCAGGTGAGAAGGGAGGAAGAAATGGTGGTATATCCATACAAGGGAATATTACTCAGCAACAGAAAGGATGAATTATTCATACTTCAGCAACATGGATGAATCTCAAAATAACTATGCAGAGTGAAAGAAGCCAGACAAAAAGAATGTATACTGTATGCTTCCATTTAGGTAAAATTCTAGGGAATATAAACAAATCTACAGTGACAAAATGCAGATCAGTGATTGCCTGGGTATGGCGGGTGGGTGGGAGGAGAGATGACAAAGGGGTACCAGGAAACTTTTGGGAGGTGATGGATATGTTCATTTTCTTGATTGTGGTAATGTTTTCATGGGTGTATACATATGTCCAAAGCATCAAAATGTACACTTGAAGTATGTGCAGTGTATGTCAATTACACGTCACTGAAGCTGTTAAAAAAAAACCCTAAAACTTAAAATAAAAATTAACAAAAAGGTATTCTGAAGTCAAATAAGTTTGGAAGAGACACTTGCATGTCTTGCAAGGTACTACAAAGCTCAGCAGCTAAGGAACAGCTTCTAGTATGCCCCAGCATAAAGAAACCTGTCTGAGCCTTATTAAACCCAACAAGTCCCAATTTCAATTTTATGCAGACCCCCCACCTCCTTCCTGCCTCCAGCACCCATTGACATACTGCGGTGCCACTCCGAACACAAGTTGTAAAGGCTTGCTGTGGAACATCAAAGATATCCAGAATATTCCAGTGGCCCACACAGCCTGGGCACCTGACATCTTCAGGGTACAGAGAGGAACAGACAGACACAGGTGCACTGGAATATGGGGTATGGGGGCTCCTTTGACACCCCTGTGGGTCAGTCATTCTGCCCAGACCTGCTGCCCAGGTCTCTGCACACATTACCTGGCAGCTCTCGGGGCCCTGAACCTCCACTGTCCCTGGGTCCTGCTGTGTACCCTGCTGGTCCTCAGACACCTTCCCTGAGCCTTGCTAGTGAAGCCCTTCACTAGCTCACTTTCCAGCTTGGCCTGATTCTGGCCAGCCTGCAGCTCTCCAGGCCCTTCCTGGGGGGGCCCAAGATGACTGTTTCATCCTGAGGAGAACGGTCACAGGGACATCTCAGCTCCCAGCCTGGGGCGCTTTTTTATTCTTACTCCTCCTTGTAGCTCCCAGAACACCTGTCTAGGACTAGGCATACCGTAGGTGTATACTTAATGCCTGGAAGAACGAATGAAGGGCTGACATGAATTCCCCAAATCACAGACATTTTGATGTCAGTGTTTAGAGAAGGTAGGAATTAATACTGTTATTAATATGTATTGTTTTTTAGAAAAAAAGAAAAATAAGAAAGAACTGGAATTCACAGAGAAAAAGCTAAAATTAATAGCTCAGGATCTGTATCTGTGTCTATCTGCTTCCACTTTAATATTCTGGAGCATTTCCTCTGGGCTTCTTTCTATGGATTTGCATACATATTTTTGTGGGGATATATTTAACTACCATCTTCATATAATTGCATAATTCTACATGGTCATATTATATTGTAAGTACAATTTGCCATCTTTTTTCAATTAACATTGTAACCTACATTTTTCCCATGCCCAAAATTTTCACGAACATGCTTTTTGATGAAAGTATGAAATTCCATATTTTATAGATAATCATGTTTTCCTTAACCATTCCCCTGTTGTGGGTGTTTAGGGCACATTGGCGTTTCCATTTTTTTTAGTAATTAAAATGATTTGACAGTAAAAATCTTTGTGCATAAAACTTTGCCTGAATCTTCAGTTATTTCCTTAGGGCTTATTTCTAGAAATGGCTGAGGGTAAAGACAGTTTAAACAAATTGCCAGGTTGTTTAAGCAGATGTGTTGAAATGGCTTATATTTCCGCCAGCATGGTATGTGGGACTTGTCTCGGAGGGGGGAGCTCAAACCTGGCTTTGTTTCCCCAACTCTTCATGTAGAAGTGATTACTTAGAGGCTTTTGGTTAAAATCAAATTTAAATGATAAGCTGACTAATCTTCACTATTCCTGTATCCCAAGTCTTTCTCTTTGCCTCTTTCTGGGGCTCTCGATTTTCTCTTTTTAAAAAGAATACATTCTCCATGTAGACAAGTTTAAATATATATGATATTTAGAAAACAATAACAATAATACCATCAAAGTGTGTGTTTCTGTGTCTCTCAGCCTCTCTTTGGTTTATTCTTCTGTTAATTCAGTGATTACGTATTTGTTGAGCATCTACTACGTGCCAGGCACAGTCCCAGGCATGAGGGAACTGAAACTGAATTGGACACATAAAAGCAGCTTGTGGCCCAGTGGGGGAGCTCAGGTTAAAGGTTAACAGGAATAATTCTTTAGTGTGATTCGTGCTGAGAAATGCAGGCACTGAGGCTGGCCATCCCCCGCCCCGCCTTAGTCTGGGTCCCGGGATGCTCTCCTGTACCTTCTCACCCTGGTCCTGCCAGATGCTTGTGCTCCTGCATCCTGAGCTCTGGAGGCCTCTCCTCTGATGCTTCCCTGTGGCAGGGCCCCTTCTCTGGCTCCCCTGGAGCTGATGAAGGCTGCATCCCCACTGCCCATTCCTGCAGCCTCTGGAAACATGACCTGGAACAGGGATGCCATGGTATTGTTGGCTCAGGGGCTGGCCAAGAATATCCATTCTGGAGAGCTCCCCCCATTCCCTGGGTATCACCCTGGCCTCAAGGACAGGAAGGTTCTATGCCTAACATGGGAAGGCATTAGAAAGAGTTGAAGAGGAGACAAGAGGCAGGGAGAGAGAGGCTGGGAGAGAGAGAGGCTGTCACTCAGCACAAACGACTCCAGCATGAACCTGATTCCAGAGCAGTACTCCAGTCAAGGGGATCCTGCCAAGGACAGCTTGACAGAGCCCCCTGGGGGCCTTCAAGACCCTCAGGAGGTCAGAGAGAGGCTTCTGAAATTTCTGTTTCTTCAGATCTCAGGCTCGGGGACTGGGTCTTGATGCCCATCTTGGTCTACCACTCCCTAGCTGGGGGACCTTGAGCCGGCGACTTAGAGCCAGCCCCAAGGCTCACTCGAGCCAGCAGACTCCAGGCAATCTGGTGCAATTGATTGATAATAACTGTTACAAGATTCTGATGCGCACCAACATTACGGGCACTTGACCTAGTTAGTCCTCACCACAGCACCCATGAGACAATGAGGCTCAAAGGGGTGGTGTGCCCACAGTCATACAGCTGGGTTAAGTGGAGGGACTGAGATCCCATGACTGTGTTCATTGGAAAAATAAGTGGATGAAGGCAGCACTAAATGTTTGCCCCAGGCTCCTTTCAAAACACCCTTATCCTTCAGCCCCTTTCCCTGCCCCAGGGGAAGCCACGAACGGGAGTCACAGGGAGATGGTGATACTTAACCCAAGGGATTGTGGTGCCATGTTTGGCTCTGGAGAAACAAGATGGGGAAGGAGGTCTTCTCCGTGTTCTTCAGTTTATGCCAGTTGGCATTTAAGACAAAAAATATTTGATGGGAAGAGGATGACAGGCATGATGAAAGCTTAGGATGCAGGTTGGGGGCTGGGGAGGGTCATGGGTGGAAGGGCAATAAAGGTTAAAAGGGGGACTGGAGGCCAGGGAAGGCACGCAGTAGAGTAAGTAGGCAATTCTTGTTTCGCTCACCCAGCATCTCTTCCAGT